TATTACACATATATTTTCCTCGTCCGTCAGTTGACTTGATCGTCGGAATGCGAACGGTCGCTGCACATTTTTCTTGACCGGCGGCCTTTGCCGTCTAACGGGGTGTTCAGTGTGCAGGTGATGTCCACGCGGAGGGGACGTGGTAGGGATTCTGTTGAGCTCATTTTTTGGGGTCAACAGTACCTATTGAAGACAATATATAAATGGAAAATATATTATCTTCTTCGATAGTTATGCTTTTAGATGATAATGATTCGCTATGATATTTGAGAAAACAAATAAAAATTGTGCAAGTGTACGTGAGGTATTAGGAAACAAAAGAAGAAAAAAAATAAAATTCTGAAGCAAATCGTTATTCTATGGATATTGACTACAAGGGATATAAAGTCTATATATAGAAAGAGAGATAAGAATTTGCCTAACAAGACAATGAAACCTAGTATGACATTAAAGCATCAATCCATGAATGATGAAACTCAAGGCTTATGATGAAAAAATGAATTTGGGTTTGATTGTGAGGAACTATGTTCAAATTTATCACCTCATCTGTGACCTTGAGCGTTTACATGAAGCAGTTCTACGTTACCTTGTGAGGATTCTCCCTGCTTTCTTTCCAATAATCTAAAACATGGTCCCAAAAGGGTCCAGCCATACTCACTCCTCTACAGAACATATCAAAAGTTTCTCCAAGTGAATGAGTTCCCGATTCCTGAGGCCTTAACTTGTTACAGAATTGCCACATGGACACAAAAGTGTCCTTGGGATTTCTACACAGATAGACAAGCTTATATCTAGAATCCTTCATAGATTTCGGGATGGAAGAAAATGGTATATGGGTTGCAAACAGCCTGGGAGAATTCATGGAGGAAAGATCAGGGATTTCATTATCAACGTAGAGTCTATGTTCCAAGAATAGCACAAGATCATGTGGATTTTTGCTGAGTAAAGGGTGATCTTGTGAAATGGGATATTGCATTCGTTTCATTAAGGTAAACACGATTGCCTTCAACCAGGTCGTCCCTGATTTGGGAGTTGTAATAAGAATAAAATCAGAACCCCGAGCCTGGAAATGTCGTTGACATGTAATGATCCCTTGAAGGTGCCTGACCGGGTGCCAAAAGCCTTGATATTTGTAGAGAGAAGAGGCAACCCGTCCACTTTCTTTGGGCAATGAAAATATTAGGTCTTTATATTCTGGTGCCACAACTTCTTCCTGGTGTAAATACTTGGGAAGAAATGTAGACATTTGACTCTGCATCTCTCTCTCTCTGGAAAGGATTGTGACTTGAAAGAATTGAGTAATATGACTAACACTTGAAAATGAGCCATATGCATTTTATAGTGAGAAGACCTGCAAATCAGAGTTCCTATTACCAAGAATAGCAAAATAATAATAATTTTTAAATGATTGGCACCTATATCAGGGACGCTTGTCCATTATATTGTACAGTTAGTACTATTGAAATACATATAAAATTTTAATCGAGTCACATTAAAATTTTCATTCTCATTCTTGTACTCACTTTCAATCACACATTTTTCAATAAAATAATATTTTACATTACATCAATAATTTTTTCTTCTTTTTCAACCACACATTTCCCATCATATCACTATTTAAAATCAATTCTTCCCCCAAAAATTCCTACCAAACAAGCAC